AGGTAAGGGCATGTATGCGGCACTTAAGGGATAATGGTTCTAGAATCTGAAGTATAAGTTTTAAATGCATAATTATCCCTTAGAAATAGCTGGAATTAAGGCACAAACTGATTTGGATAAGATATGATAAGATAAGGCTAGATTAGGTAAGGATAAGATAAGATAAGGTTGGATAAGGTTTTGGATAATGTTCCTTCTTTTGAGCTAATTCCTTATCTTCTTTGTCTTGGATTTATTTCTTCACTCTTTTCAGCTCATTCCTAGCCTCTTGATCTTCAAATTTGTCCATCCATCTTGCTCCACTCATAAGCTATCCATTTGGTGCCCAAAACTGCCTCAAAATGCTCCAAGTTGCACTTTCTTGCCAACTTTGTCATATGGACCTACAAACACACGAAAATAGCTTAAAACACTATAATAAACACAAACTAACTATGAAAATGCAAGAAAACAAGCTAACTAAGTCGCATAAATATGCTTCTATCATACTTGCCGAGTACGCGCGGGTTGTTTTCGACTCTCGCCAGACATCGACATCAATTTGAAGGGAAGAAATCATCTCCGGATCTCTCCCACCAAATCCTAGGGATTCGAAGATCCGAACCCTTAAAATTTAATCCAACGGTTACAAACAGAGGACCCTTCTAAAGTTATAATAATTGTAGTCATTGAATTAAATTTCAAGAGTTCGGATCTCCGGATCCCTAAGATTTGGTGGGAGAGATATGAAGGAGATCTCTTCCCCAATTTGAAAGCTGCTGTGCAGCAAGCAGTCTACTTCCCCAGCCCACGTGTTCTTTTTTTTTTCTTTTGTCAAATGAATGGTCAGGATTCATTATGGCTTTCAAATTCTTTTTCACCATTGAGGAGGATCAACGGTTCAAGAATAATAAAACATGGCCGGCGCTGCTGCTCTCATTTTGGCTTTGAAATGAACGGTCAAGATTCATTCTAATTATGGTTTTGTGAAGAAAAAATTTGATATTAAAATTTGAAATTTTTTTGGGTAAAATGTTCACAAAATTATTTTACGACAACGTAATATGAAATTAATTATAAATAAAAGTTAACACAAAGTACATGATTAAATTGTCGCACCTCAAATTTAGAGATTCTACTATAAGGACTTATCCATTAAAGGTAATATTCGTATAGAGACACAAAGATTCTCTTTTAGTCCCTAAATGAATTCTTAAATATGGTGGTTGGAGTTCCTAAATAGTGACACCCATTGAAGATGCTCTGATAAATAAACTCCCCATGGCACACCAATGCCGGCATCCACCACCCAAAACTCCCAAATGAAAACAATCTCTTTCTCTTCTTGCTCTTTCCTCGTTTTGACCAAAACCTTAACCCATTTTCAAAACCCATAAAGTTCTTTAAAAATCTGCTCAGTATGCAACTTTTGGATATGGTAAAATACTAGCCTGCATTCTCATAGGGATGAATTATTTTGTTACCGTGAGAATACACTCAGCCAAAATTGAAAAATTAAAATCAAGACTTAGGTCCACAAAAAATAATCAATAACAAAGTCATCAACAACGTGATTTAAACATAGAACGGTTTAATTTAGAAGAAACTCACCGTCATATATTCTTCAATTTAAAAGAAAGATAACTTGTTTCTCCATCAGTGCTCCAGCAATCAACATCATGCATATTTTTCAAATAAAGATGGCTAAAAGATTTGCGCTGCATTCTTCAATTATTCGTTCATAGTTGTGGATGTTAAAGGTCTAAAAGCAAATTTCGCTACGATAGCATAGCAGAGAAAGCAACTGAAACCTGGAAATCCCCACTCGTAAATACCAAAATGGAGGGAGGAAACCAACTGCACCCTCACAATTGGCGTCGGTGTTCCTAAATGCATACTAATTCAATTTATACATTTCTTTTGTAGGCCTCTTTTGGTGACAACGAGTCGATGAGACTTTGTGATTGAACGTGCTAAAGCATTAGTGTTCTAAAGTGTTTAGTTTCAGAATATTTTGGAACTTTGAATCATATAGTATTCAAGATAATGACTACTTTTTGTTTTTAGAAGTTTTACTTTGTCATCATATGAATTATAATTAAAGACTTGCTTGGGTGTAGTAGAAAAATATTTCGTAAACTATTATTTCAATTATTGGAATTATACGAGGACTTAAATGATTAAAATAGGGAAATGCATGCTAAAATGTACTTATAACGGTGTTTAATTGTCAGAAAACGAAAATTATGACAAATTTTTCTTTTGTAAATTTCAATTTATTAAAAAAAAACATGTAGACGGATGAAAAAATGGTAAATAGGTAAAAAAAAAAGATAATTGGGTTCAAAAACAGGTAAACAGTTATGGTTAAATGGGTAAACGGTTATGGTTAAATGAGTACACGGTTATGAGTATGGTTAACCGTTTATAAACGGTTATGTGTGCGGGTATAACCGTTTATACAATTGCCCAACGGGTAAACGGTTATGCAGGTATGTATAAACGGTTATGGGTAAATAACCGCGATTACCCACCCGCCATAACCATTGCCCATCCATACTCATAATCCTCTATAGTTTGGTTTCCAAAAATAACACTGCATAATCAGATACCTATTTGTTACTCTCGTTGTACAAGTCATCTCCACCTTGTAGCATTTGCGCTATGCATTTCTTCATTGCAGCAACTAACACTTGGCAAAATCTTGAGAGTGGGTTGCCATTTGGTTTGAAGTGCCTGTACCTAGCAGTCCCACCACTGCTGCAAATGCTGATTCTACGGATGCTTGGAACCCAGTAGCCCAAATTCCTTCATCCTCAAAGACTCCTAATACGGTGATTCAGACAAAAAATGGTCGAATTCGAATGGAATTGAAAATGAAAACAGAGATTAGGTGGAGAGATCGGGAGAGAGGTAGAGAGATCGATCCGATTACAAAAGTGGAGGAATTGTTTCTTTACAAAGGAGAGGTCGACATCAGGCAAAGCAATTGAGAAATGGAGATCGAGAAATAGGGATTGGGTGGAGATATCGGAGAAACGGAGAGAGGTTTAAACGGGAAACAGTTTGCCGTTAGGGGCAAAACTGGAATCTCATTCATTGGACTAATCTTATTGGGCTGGTTTGATGTTGGGTTTTGTCAAAGCCATTAAATAAACTTATTACCTAATTTTTGTTAAGATGTAATGTTTTAAAGTCTTTTTCATAAGTTTTCCTTATAATAACACAAAGTAGCATTTATTAGCGACCGTATGGAACTACAAAATCTTGGTTGAGAACAATAGATTATTAAGGGAATGCTATTATTAACTAAGATACTAAGTTGCATATATAATTAATACCAAGCATTGTTGCATGCATATAGGTTGCAACCAAGGGTGGAGCCAGGAGATTTTATTTATTTATTTTTTTTGGTAGGTTAGCTAAAATTAGTACCATAAAATTATATGATTATTTTTTTTATATATAAAATTATATAATAATCAATATAAAATAACAACAATAGAACATGCACAATTCTTGAAATCATAACCCTAACCGACAACTTCAAGGATCATATAAATATTTAACCTATTAAATAAATCAAGAATAAGTAAATAAAACGATTTTGGTACATTCATGGGAAAATCGTAACAAAAAGTAAGGAATTGCGGAGATAGGGATTTAATTGTGAACTAAAAAAAAATTATTTTTCTTATATTGAGTATGAAGTACAGAGAATATAACTAATTTATTTTTTTTTTAACATAAAAAGTATTATTTATTACCTATCCTCTACTAAATATACATGAAATAATAACATGTATTGGAATAGAGTGAGCTATATAGGCTACATGCATTAACATAAGCCATTAAGCATGAGCTTGAAAAAAAGATAGTGCTATTCACACACCCTTAAAAAAAATTTGTCATCAATCTTCATCATTTCATTCGATCCGAAGGTCGAAAACTGATAGGGATGTATAAGAAATAATAATGGGTGTGTAGATAGCACTACACAGTCTACACTTACAAAAAACATCCCTGGGCTACAGTTCACCTTAGCCTTGTGAGTGGCTCCGCCCGTGGTTGCAACTTAGTCAAATCTTTCAACCAACTTGTAAATTGGTACAATTTCTATAAGATAATTGTTATTGACACTCCAAAAATCTGATTCTACAGGCCTCACAAGTGTATTTTTCTTTCTAAATATAGTAAGTTTAGAATGCAAAATGAAAATTTTGGAATGCCAATAACAACTCTCATTCCATAAATGATCAGCATGCAAGTTGGATGAGGCGAAATTAACATTCTGCTCTTGCAATATCTTGAGGCACGCGATACAAAGTGTACTTTAATGTTTTTTGTTAATTTTCCCGCAATATGTGTACACCAACGTCTAAAATATCGATATTATCTCGATATTTTCATCGAAATTTCCGTGTTTTTGGACTACCGATATTTCCGATATCATCGATATTTTAGACATTGATAGGAACTCTATGTGGTACTAAGTCACTCATGTATCTTACCATGCAATGTATAAAGTGTAAAATATTGTACTAATTCATTATATATAAATGATTATGGTGTGTTTAAACTTCTTTTATTAATTACTACATATTTTTTACACTCACAATGTTTGTTAGCTCGCTATATAATCAACTTAAATCAGTTAAATCCATCATGCAATGCATTTCCTTCCAATTTTTTGTGATAAACTAAAAGATAATTGACTAAATAAACATCATGCAAAGTTTCAATAAAAATTTCCAAGTTTTTCTTACAATTCCTTGATTTTTATTCAATTTTTATCGATATCGATAATATCCCGATATTTCCATCGAAATTTCCGTGTTTTTGGACTACCGATATTTCCGATATCATCGATATTTTAGACCTTGGTGTACACCTATGTGTGAGGCATATCTCTTTAATCACGTGATATGTATACACTGTACATAATTATCATGAAATATATATACTTCCGATTACACTTCAAACTTTCCCGTGTTTGAGGCATACTCTCGTTGAACAAATAGCATTTGGATTATTAATTTGAATTAGTATTTAGTCTCTTGTTTCGTTTCTTTTCTTTTTCTTCTTATGAAAGAACATATACATATATGACTTTGATATGATAATACATATGTTCAACTTATTACATTTATACACAAACTAGCTGGCTAGTGATCATCTCTATCTAGACATCTCTTTTAAAAATCTTAGCATGAAACTCTCACTCCCAAAACAAGTGCTCCTCCCCTGATCGATGATCAATATGCTTGATCCAACGGCTAGGACCCTTCTTATTTGACTCCACAACATTTCCACCTCCAGCTCCATAGCCTATATGAGCAATATCCAACCCCTTCCCAACAGGCAAAAACACTGTCCTCACAACTCGTGTCCCCTTCTCAACCGCACCATGCCATTTGAACCCAGAAACGTTCCTTTGACACGCATTTTTGCATGCAAATACTGCCCCTTTAGGACTCACCTTAGCCCTCATCAAAACCCTAGAAAAGTCCCTCCCCTTGCAATCCACCACCAGAAAATCCACACCTGCCCCTGTTGCCGCCTCAGCCTCCCCGACCACCACCTCTGGCATAACCCCCGCGTTTCTTGTGGCATTTACGTACTCCGATCTTGAAATTTCGTCTGGGACTATGCACACATGCCGTCCGCGCGTGTGGCGGGCTGCCATGGCGAGGCCGATACTCGTGGCTATTGGATCACCCTGGGACCACGACTCCACGATTAGCTTCGCATCCCAGCCGGCTGCCATGGCAGACAGAAGCTCCGGAACCCCAGATTGTCTCAACTTCTCACACTGAAAGATTCATAAACAAGAAAGTAAAGTAATTAATTAATAAGGTATTCATCAATTCCCCCTGAACTTGTGACCATTGGCCAATTTCCCCCCTCAACTTTAATTTTGGTTAATTTCCCCCCTCAACTCTCATAATTAGTCAATTTCCCCCCTCAACTTTAATTTGGCCAATTTCCCCCCTCAACTCTCATAATTAGCCAATTTGCACCCTACTGTTAATTTTTTTTAATTTTCCATCTATTCTTTTTTTTTTCTTTAAATTTTTCTAATAACTTCCAACAAAGTACTAAAATTAACATAAACTCACTTGCATAATATAGGGTAAAATGTACAAAAACATAATACAATTAGTATGTGATATGGGTTGATTATAAGAAAAAGTTATGAATCGGATTTAAAGCATGTAGAAGAAGAAATAATAATCCTAAACTCATGGATCAGACCTATTTCAATAAAATGGGTTATTCTTAATAAGGAGTCGAAAATTATGAATTGACTAGCCATTTTTGCACTAAAGCTCGATTCTCCGCAATTTACTTGAACTTAACTTTCACTTTTATAAAGAAAATTGTATTCACATACAAAAATGTGCACATCAATCCTTTTCGTTATCAATTTTGTATAGTAAAAAATCAAATAAAATTACTCCAGACTGATTTATTATGATTAATAATATTATCTATGATAAATTGTAAAATTCTAAATTTTAATCTATTTGTAATAGGATAAAGACATAGGAAAATGATTAACATACATCTTATTTAGTTTCTTACACACACTTGTTTAATTATGATCAAATTAAAAAATTAACAGTAGGGTGCAAATTGACTAATTATGAGAGTTGATGGGGGAAATTGGCCACATTAAAGTTGAGGGGGGAAATTGACTAATTATGAGAGTTGAGGGGGAAATTGGCCAAAATTAAAGTTGAGGGGGGAAATTGGCCAATAGTCACAAGTTCATGGGGGAAATTGATGAATACCTCTTAATTAATAATATTAATGAGATGAAAATTATACAATAATAACATAATCACAAGATCTTGTTGATAATTAGGCTTTTGGTTAAGATTGTAGATATTTACTTACTGATTTTACAGTGTCTATGTAAGCCTTTGAAGCAGTTTCTGGAGACCAAATGAGCTTCATTTCCTCTCTCTCTCTCTGTGTGGATGGTTTTAGAGAGAATGATGATAGGAGGAGGGAGACTAAATTCTAATGGGAATACATAGGGAATATATAGTCAAGGTGTTTGAGTTATATAAGTAAAATGGTTTTGTCTACAAAGCTAAGCATTGACATTTGAGCACATATGCATGGCATTAAATACAAATGAACTGTTGTAGAGAGTCATCAGGACGTGTATTCATCTTTAGCCCACCAAGACTATAAATTCTTTTGTTTTTTGGTCGAAGAAAGTAGAAATTCATTGATAATCACTTTAGCAAAAAGTTGGTATCAGCTGATGCTCTTATCTCTTTCTCTCTCCCCTTCCCGCACGCTATACGGCATGACAGTCATGTGTCAAGTGCCACCGTTTGAGTTGACAATTGTACGGTATTAGTTAACAATGTCTCTTAATTAATTATATATGCATTGTGTAATAACATAACATTAATTAGTAAGAAATTTAGTGTCAAAATTTTTCAAAGAGATTTCAAAATTGCCATATTGACATACAACAGTAAAAAAAAAAGCCAAATCGAATAAATGATCCATGTGGTCATAAAGTATTCAAAAGATAGCCTCTGTGCTAAAAAAAACTCGGATTTAAATCCCTGTTGTGCACTCCGTTCGTAAATTTAGTCCAAAAGTGATTTTCCGTTAACTATCTGTTAATATATGGGTAAAATTGTACTAAGTTGTAAATAACAAGATGCCTTTTAACTACACTAGATATGATTGCAGTGGTTTGAACTCTTTGATTAAACAGATCATGGAGATGGACCACATCAAGCTATCAGAGGAGGCACGGGCATATAAGAAGTGCCTTGAAGATATGAATGAAATGAGGTTTACCATTCATTCCACTTGTAAGTTAGACACGCTAAACGCTTTCCAGGTGACGACATTTTTGAATTTCAAGATAAGATATTCGTTTTTCTTTATCTGATCCTGGCTGTTTTATTTTTGCAATAGTAAATCAGCAAGTAAATTTTCATAATGATCTGAAGACTAAGTTTATTGAAGGGGCCAAAGAATGGAAAGAGCTCTACAACAAGGTGTTAGAGTTGAAAGGTTAGGAATTTGCTATTTTTGAATTGAAGAGGGCCAAGAGTGTATGAGACAGAAGGGTGTTTCTGACATTAATTTTTCTCCCTTGTAGGAAACATACAGGTCTTTTGCCGGTGCAAGCCTCTAAATACTGATGAAGTTGCAGCAGGAGCTTCAATGGCTATTGATTTTGAATCTACTAAAGATGGTGAGCTCACTGTCAAATCAAATGGGGTCACCAGAAAGACCTTCAAGTTTAATGCTGTATTTGGCCCTCAAGCAGAACAAGGTATGCAGACAATGATAGATGAGCTTTTTCTTTGGACAATATAAAGACGAGGAAGAAGAAGGTCCACACGTCAAAGTACAATTTTACCCATATATTAACAGATAGTAAACGGAAAAATCACTTTTGGACTAAATTTGCTAACGAAGTACACCACAGGGGTTTAAATCCGAGTTTTTTTTAGCACAGGGGCTATCTTTCAAATACCTTATGACCACAGGGATCATTTATCCGATTTGGCCTTTAAAAAATGGCAATAAACTCTCTCCAATTGAGCCTTCAATTTTTTACATGGCGCTGAGTCAATTGAAGGCAAAACATTTTGCTGTCAAATTTTGTTAAATGAGTTTTTAATAAATGAATAATAGGTTTTTCCAGTATTTGATTGGTTGCTTCAATCATTTGATCCCACAAAAAGATAAAAAATTTATTAAATGACATTATTATTTAACATATCTAATGGAGCAAAATATTGTACAAAATGTTAAATTGCCACATAAGCCATCAAATATAATTTTAATGTTTAAAATTTGACATCTCCTTTGAAGATATTCTAACTTAATCTGCACATACTAGTGGGTGTAGGGTTATATTTCAATATAAATCTTCTTTTTTTTTTGTTTTTGTAATTTTTTCACTACTCAACCAACTTGCTATGATATTAGGTTAAAATTTGAGATATTGTTCTTAATTTAACCACTTAAAAAATTCGGCAAGTGTAAAAATTTATAAAAATGGCCTCGATGCATGTAAAAGTGAAACCGTTAAATATCAAATCATTTATAGTTTTATCAAATTTTTAATGTGAGATTCTTAATTATATGTCATTCAAGATGCATAAATCAAAAGGAGTACTAGTTCTAATCAGGGATAAGCTTAACTACGGCTAGATTGCTTTGGGCGGCATAAACATGCATTATAATTAGATATTTGTACTTCTTTAAGCAAGCAAGTTGCAACAACTGAGGATTTATATACAAGTTTTCTTAGGTTTTATCCGCAAGTACCATCGATATTTAAAGTTTTCTTAATAAAGGTCAAAATATACATGCATTTGTTTAGGTCAACGAAGGAGTTAATCATGGAAAATGATTTGTTAATATATAAACATATAGCATATGCTAACTATAGCTAGTTACACGAATAAATAATCTCAAGCTTCCAAGTAGCCCATCAAATTTGAATTGTTTCGACATTTCTTGAGCAATCATCCATTTATTATATATGTTAATTTCACCCTATATTTAAACATCATTAACCTTAAAAACTTTTTTTGTTACTCTTTTGTATAACCGGTATATAGACAAACTAAGTAATTCAAGCACCCCTTTTATATAGGTATTAAGGTGGAGAAGAATTCGAGTTCCATTAGTTAAGAATTTTTTATTGATCATATTATTTTGGATGATATTAAGTTCCATTAGATAAGAATTCGAGTTCAGATATTTTGAGGTGTAAGTCTAATCATAAAATATAATTATACGTAAATAATTATAATTACTTGTTTACCCTTATTATATATGTTTCTTTTTTCTTTCCTTTTACTAATTAAGGATAAATAGCTAATGAAACATGGACATATAAGATAACTTCACATAGGGCATAATATAATTAAGGAATTTGTTTGTTACAATTCGAATCTTTGAAATAAAAAGTCCATTGGTATGTTTTCATCTAATGAGATCACGAACGATTGTTATAATCAAGATCCCTTGTCTCACACTGCTAATTGATTTGTTTTGTGAAACAACAGTACTACCGTGCTTGTTGTTTAAGAAGAAGTATACCTCAAATTATCATCCAGACATATCATATATATATGTGTGTGTGTATAGATATATTTCGTCGATATATACGTATAGAGTAAATACATGTCACATCCCATATGTAATTAATTAGATAGATATTCTTACTTCTACGAGAGAGATGTAGAAAATATACAATCGGTTTGCCTTTTGTGATCATACCATGACTAAGCCTAATTGTTTTAGATTATTAATTTTGATGCAACTGCGATTTTTTAATACATAACAACGCAACTTGCTTGATAAAAAATTAAAATTAAAAAAAAAAAAAAACAAGGCAACTTGCATAAATTTGTCGAGGGGGACAGATTCATCTCATAAGTCAGGACTTTCAACTTGCCATAGAAAAAAACTGTGCGACGACGAAGAATATTTTTTTTTTATCCAAATATAGTGTTGAAGATAACAAAATCATTGATATGTATAAAATTGGTGATGTAAATGATAAGATGGTATATGTTATTTTATCTTAAGTTTAGTACATACTAGAAAGTTGATCTGCGTGTTGCTGCGGGATTAGAAATTGTATAAATAAATATGTTTGAAAAAATTGTAAACTGGAATTTAGTGTAATGAACAGATGTCTAAGTTTACAATGACATTTAAATTTGAACCAATAAATATGTAAAATGGAAAATTGAAAATCCATTTAGGTATATTTATGCTTAGAACCAATAAGGCGTGACCGGTCGATCATCTCAATAAAGTAAACAACTTGATTTCATCAAGAAATATTTTTGTTTTGTTACTTTATAAAGAGAATTTGTTCCGAAAGATCGAAAGCAAACGGATTCAACTTTGAAATCCCATAGTATAAGTAGATTAAAGAAACAATTTCTCCAATTACATTTAATAAATAGTCAAAAACAATATAATTGCAAATGTAAAGGCACGTGATCTAATGGTCAAAAACCATGTCAACCACTTAGATGTCAAAAAATAAAAAGCATATGGAGCTGAGGACTTACTTGAGTTGAGAGTTTAGTTAATGTGAGTTGATGCTCTCACTTTCATCAACATAATAAAGTCTGCATTTGATGCAATTTTAGTACATGGAAACACCTGGCATCAACAAAAGAAAAATAAATAAAGAATAAAGAAATTCAAATTAAAGTTTTAGAACAATTTATAGACAAAATGAGAATGTAGGTATTAAAATTAGGAAAAATTTATGGACAAACATGAGTTAAATTACTATAACAACAATATTAAGACAGTGAAGATGGAAATTGATGTACTATTTGACAAAATGAAATGAAGTGATGATCAAAGATGAGGAAGGCATGCTGAAAAGTAGAAATTGTGTCTCATATGCCTTTAAAATGATTGACAAATTCTAATTGACTTATCACAAAATGAGTACAATCGAGATTGAAGAATGTAATCAAATTTGATGACCCCAACTGAAGCAAAATTAATGAACAACATGCAAAATGCATTAAAAAGTTGAGAATATGCTGCAATAAGGCATTAAGTTTGTATTTACCTGTAGCACGATGCTGTAGCATTAGAAATTGAATATTCTAACTTGCAACCGATTGATGGGAAAATTATTATGGGATTGTAAAGAGAGTGTAATATCTTGAAATAAAAGTAACTGGAAAGTAAGTTAAGAGATTGTATCGTTGAATCAAACTGAAAACACCGGAATGTGATTAGGTATTCCTTTTCAAAGTTTCATATCATTGTTTACATGTTTTATAGTAGAATTTAGTTAAATAGTTTCAATATGAGCAATAGTTGAAATCATCTAAATGATAACATCATCAATTAGCAGTTAGTTTCATAGCATTTCTATTGTAAAAATGTAAAAATAAAATGAAATGGTGTATAAAGATGGATCAGATACCCCTAGTTTGGTGTCTCTGTATAATCAAAATTTAGTATGAAAAGTTAATTAGAAATGTGTTAAAATGGAAGTAAAAAAGATTGAAACTTGCCTAATGTGATGGGTACAATTTTACCATTTGTTTGTGGAAAATATACTGCTGTGACATGCCATATGTTGATCTTGCCTTGTTGGAAGTAATATTAGTCGTTGATTGCCAGGTAGCATAAATCTATACAATATTTATAATTTATGAGACAAATTATTATGTCAAAGTTGTGTGCTAAAAATAATTTATACTTCTATATTGAAGCAAGTTATGATTTTAATTTGTATATACCTTGGTGGAGTCATTCTGTGGATCAGTTTCTTATATTCATCATCCATGCTATGTGAAAAACTAATTCCAAGTTATGCAGAAAGTTACAAAGAAATGAAATATAAAATTGGAGCGAAGATTCAATTATGCAAATTTACACTTCTACACACATAATATTCAAATAAAGAAAATTTGAATAAAAAGGCACTAACATTCCAACGCCCATTGTTTGGATGAAATGAAATTCTCATAAATTCGTGGCAAATCCTCGATGACATACTCCTAAAAGATGAACAACATATAATTTTAAACAAAAAAAGGGTACAAAAACTACCTTTACAAATTGATTGAGGTGGATGATCGCAACATTTTTTCTTCCCTTTATCCTCGTACTCTTTACCCACGTTCATGCATGTACAATGCTCAAACACAACCCAAATTAATTCAAATGAAATATGCACAACCCAAGAGAAATTAATTAATTCAAATAATTATTCACTTCCTCATAACCCAAATTAATTCAAACGAAATCTGCACAACCCAAAGTAAGAGATCAAACGAAATATGCACAACCCAAATGAAGAGATCAAACTCTAATTCCATCAAAAAGCCATTATTCCTAATGCCATCTTTCTTTTTGGCACCCTATCCATTATGTCAGCAACAGATACAGAAACAAATAAGTCCATAAAACATAAATTAACCCAAGAAGTATATGTACACAACACAAATCAACCCAATAAGCGAACTTTATTTAAATAGACGAAAATGAGTAATAAGTCATTGAACCCTTACTTCACCATTCTAAGCTTTTACATATCTCTCTATGTATATATGAGGGTAGACATTCAACCCTCACTTCTTTCTTTTTTGAGAGTTTTGTATACTAATTAGAGAAACCAAGGAATTCGAAGCTTTTCCATACCTCGGCTTATATTTTGAGGGAATTTAATGTGTTCTTGGAAATTGGTAAAAGTGAATGTGGAGGAATAAGGGAAGAGTCCACTATCTCTCAAGCTCTTCCCTTTGAATTGTTGTAAAAGAAACTCTTACATCCACCATTCCCCCTATTCCAATTCAAAAAATTTAAATTAAAAATTTTAAGAAGAAACTCAACAGAAAATCACTAAATAGTTCAATAAATTTGGAATCTTTGTTATTTTCCTGGAAAAAATAAAAGGTGGAAACTTTACCTGAGGAACTGAAAGCCAAGCTGTGATGAGAGCAAGGCATATGGTGTTGCAAATGCTATAAAGGGACAGAATCAGAACTGATAGGATTGAATAAATCAGTTGGAAAACTCATGATGTGATCAACATATTCATTGCCAACTTGCATCCACACAAAAACCATACAAAAAAATCGCCAATTAGATTTGATAGCATACCACAATGTCATGACACAAAATTAACTGTAATCACGAAATTAGCGACCTGAAATCTGCCAGACAACTCACCAGGAAACCAAACTTTTTCTGGGTTTAAATTTTCTTCCAATCTGAAACAGATTCATCTAAAACATAACCTCCAGGGCAAAGACTATAATCGACCTACAAAAGTTCGCTTAACATTGAATAGGGATAGTAAGGTTGTAAACAATATATATGGTGTCACATCTCGGCCCGGGGCGAACCACTTCCCGGGCCCGCTCCACCACCGTAGCACGATATTGTCCGCTTTGGGCCCCGACCATGCCCTCACGGTTTTGTTTTTGAGAACTCACGAGCAACTTCCCAGTGGGTCACCCATCATGGGAGTGCTCTGGCCTTCTTCTCGCTTAACTTTGAAGTTCCTATGGAACCCGAAGCCAGTGAGCTCCCAAAAAGCCTCGTGCTAGGTAGGGATGGGAATATACATTTAAGGATCACTCCCCTGGGCGATGTGGGATGTTACAATCCACCCCCCTTAGGGGCCCGACGTCCTCGTCGGCACACTTCTGGCCAGGGATTGGCTCTGATACCAATTGTCACATCCCGGCCCGGGGCGGACCACTTCCCGAGCCCGCTCCACCACCGTAGCACGATATTGTCCGCTTTGGGCCCCGACCATGCCCTCACGGTTTTGTTTCTGGGAACTCACGAGCAACTTCCCAGTGGGTCACCCATCATGGGAGTGCTCTGGCCTTCTTCTCGCTTAACTTCGAAGTTCCTATGGAACCCGAAGCCAGTGAGCTCTCAAAAGGCCTCGTGCTAGATAGGGATGGGAATATACATTTAAGGATCACTCCCCTGGGCGATGTGGGATGTTACAATCCACCCCCCTTAGGGGCCCGACGTCCTCGTCGGCACACTTCTGGCCAGGGATTGGCTCTGATACCAATTGTCACATCTGATATGATATTAACTAGCACTCAAATTAACCCTCTTTTTATCAATTGTAGTAAGTATGTAAGTAGGGATCGTTCTAGGCCGGGGATTAGGAGGGATTGCTAAATCACTTGAAAACTGACTCAAAAACGTAAAAACAAAGTTTAAAACACTAAACTAGACTCAAAGAATGTAAAACTATAACTTAAAACACCAAAACAAACCAAAAGACTCAAAATAACAAAAAAAACACTTAAAACTGCCTTAAAACCACTTTCTGGGCAGTTTTGAACTCTAAACAAGATTTTGACGAAAATAGGTTTTAACTTGACTCAAAACACTTAAAAACACAAACTAACATACTCTCTAACTAATTTGACACTTGAAAACAAAGGGGGATTTGGTTTTTACGAAATTGAAAACAAAACATAAACTTGTAAATCAAAACAGATTTTAAAACGAATTTGATTGAATTGAATGGATAGAAAGCTAGCTAAGGGGTTCATCTCCACACATGTTATACTTGCATTCAAAACGATTTCCAATTGCTTTTCAATAACCCATGAATTCTCAATTAGAAGTAATCAAATCATATAGCAAGCATAAACATGGTTTCGAATCCCCCCTAGCCAAGGGGGGTTTAGTTCCTCATACTCGCAAAGCAAAGATACATAAATTTAGAAATTAAAATCCAAAGAAAGAAAACACCTAGAACGCTCCAACTTGGCAGCAAGCACATCCAAGAATTCTCCTTCCTCATTGCTACGGCAGAGAACTTTAGAACAAGTTTTGGGTGGTATTTATGGTGTAGAATGGATGGGGAATGGTATGGAAAGGTGTAGGGTTGATGGGTGGTGCGGCTAGGGATGATTTTGGGCAGAAAATATGGAATATGGTGGTGGAAAGGTGCGGCAAAGAGAGCCTCTTTGTTTCTGACGTGAATGATGTATATGGGAGGTGATATCTCCGGCCAAAAGGGTTTAATGAGTATATATAGGCACTTCAAAACCCTAGCAATCAGATTAGGGTTTCTAGAAGCCCAACTCCACCAGAAATTAGGTTAAAACAATCAGATTTTTAGTGGGAATAAGGCCTAGGGTTAGGGTTTAGAGATGGGCCTTCTAGAATGCCTTGCAAGGCAAGGAAATCAGATATTCTAGAGGCCTAGGTGCGGCTAGGGTTAGGGTTTACAAGGAATTAGGGTTTAGGTCATCTAAAAGCCCAAAGCCAAGAATAGAAACTCTCGAAAATGGAAACCTCCAAGAATAGAAACTTCCAACTTTAGAAACTTTGGTTTCCAAATCTGAATTCTTTGTTCTTCACTTTCATTTCTTCATTTCTTAAGCTCCTCTGACCTTCAAACTCGTCCATTCCTTATGCTCCATTAGCATACACTCCATTCCAGCTCAATTTTGCTCTAAAATGCTCCATTTTGCACTTCTTTGCATAATTCGTCTCTAAACCTGAAATTGCACGAAAATGACTTTAAACACTAAAATAACTAAAGAAAAACAACATAAATGCTTAAGAACAAGACAACTAAGTCGCATAAATATGCTTCTATCAACATCCCGGCCCGGGGCGGACCACTTCCCGGGCCCGCTCCACCACCATAGCACGATATTGTCCGCTTTGGGCCCCGACCATGCCCTCACGGTTTTGTTTCTGGGAACTCACGAGCAACTTCCCAGTGGGTCACCCATCATGGGAGTGCTCTGGCCTTCTTCTCGCTTAACTTCGAAGTTCCTATGGAACCCGAAGCCAGTGAGCTCTCAAAAGACCTCGTGCTAGGTAAGGATGGGAATATACATTTAAGGATCACTCCCATGGGCGATGTGGGATGTTACAATCCACCCCCCTTAGGGGCCCGACGTCCTCGTCGGCACACTTCTGGCCAGGGATTGGCTCTGATACCAATTGTCACATCCCGGCCCGGGGCGGACCACTTCCCAGGCCCGCTCCACCACCGTAGCACGATATTGTCCGCTTTGGGCCCCGACCATGCCCTCACGGTTTTGTTTCTGGGAACTCACGAGCAACTTCCCAGTGGATCACCCATCATGAGAGTGCTCTGGCCTTCTTCTCGCTTAACTTCAAAGTTCCTATGGAACCCGAAGCCAGTGAGATCCCAAAAGGCCTCGTGCTAGGTAGGGATGAGAATATACATTTAAGGATCACTCCCCTGGGCAATGTGGGATATTACATATGGGTTGTAAACACTGTATACATATATAATAAAGACACAACATGAACATTCACGATATTTACTTGTAAAATCTAGTAAGCAGAGGGAACACAGGATACTTCAGCAATGGATAAGGATACTTCGTCATTTTGTCAGATTACTTTGAAACTTTCTTAGAATATATTCATTATCTCGTTATTTTCATGATGAAGATAGTATTTTCACTAAATCTAGCATATTTTTATGTTATATAATCCCAAGTTTGAATTCTCAAAATGATTCTAAACGTGACATTGAAATCAAACTGACCAAAGTCTAAATAGAATTGAGCATAACATCTCTTCTTGTTCTTGATCATTGTTGTTCCTAATGTGGTCCATCCGACTTCCCAGAATTATCATCCGAAAAGGGTTTCACCAGGCATTGGTGAACTGAACTTTTGTCCCTTTCACTAATTTAGTACGCAAAGAAAATATTGGAAGGGAAACAAAATCCAACAAATAAAAAAATGGTCAGTGAAACAATACAAATATTCATAAAAATTAAAAATTTCTGCAAGGGGCATCCCAGAATATAAATGCACATTAAACCCATTTCCTAGTTCTCTTAATTGAAGCGAACCCAGAAACAAAATAACGAAAAAAATGAAAAAAAAAATTCTCGACATCCATACACCTCAAAGCCCAGAACAAAAAAAGAAGAATTCTTGTGTGGGTTTGGAGCTCTTCACTTATAGGTGTTACAATATTGGTGTTGCGTCTTTTCTAGACGGTCAATTCGTCGTCGTTTCCATTAGTAACAATAGGAGGTGAAACTGCTGGTTTGGGTGAAGAAGGCACTGATCTTTGATTGCATTGCATGAATGCGTCGGATTGGATTTGAATTGATCTGAGTTCATTACCCTTCCATCGTTCTTTGGTTCAGAGAAAACAAAATGAAGGAAAAAAGTAGAGAAGTGGAGAAACGCTGTCGAAAAGTGAGAACGAACACAGATAACTCAAAGAAGAAAAAACCAGGGAGAGAACTTGATCTGGGTTCGTGTTTTCAGCAAGAGAGCTAGTGGTTTCCGGAAGCAAATGGAAATGAATTGGACTTCTGTCATCCCCACGATTACCAACACGTGTACACCTACAACACGAAAATGAAATTATACAAACCAAGCAGGGGCAAATCCGCCATTTCACTGTTGATGAACAGTGCGCTCTCTCACATGATGAACATTGATTTTTTACTGGCCTTTAGTATATGTATAATATATAGAGTGACGGTAATGTTTTTGTCCTTTTAGTTTGATATTTATGCTTAGTAGTTTTTAGAACGCACTAGAGTTTGTTGGTTTTGGTTTTTCTCTATAGAAAAGTTACTTCATTTTAGTTTTCGTCTTGGTGTGCTGAATTTCTTTTAGATCTATGTGTAAATAAGAGGTGGAGTTGTTTGATTTGCTGGATCTACTTCTTGGTGTTCTGGGGTCATGGCAATGATTAAAAGATGTGGTTAGATCCATGATAATCGTATTCCATGTCCCCATATGTTTTGAGAGTTTTTCTACTCACATGACCGCCATGTAACACGAGATGTAGCAATTTTATTGATTCTTGTTAACTTGCAGTTCTAGTTGAGCTCAACTTCCGATGAAGTTCTTGAAATTTACTTATTGTATTGTGATTGGTCATGCTTTTGTAAACACGAATTTTCCTGCGATGAATACAAAATAATATTTTGTATTAATGATTTTGGGGTTACAATCTCTTCTACAAATTTAGCCTCTGATTAAATTTTCGTAAAGTGTTGATTTGTGGATGGGCTGTTAATCCAAAGGGGCTGTCGGGGCTTGATCTTTAGGATGAACAGTGGTGTACAGATCTTCAAGGGCTTTTGGGCTTGATCTTGAAGAACGATGGATGAATTTATTGATGTTGTTGATCCAAAGGGCCGTCAGGGGGCTTGATCTTAGGATGAACGAGTGATGAACGATGAACACTTTCTTCAAGGGTCGTCGGGGCTGGATCTTAAATTGGTGGAAGTTCTTCAAGGGCCGTTGGGGCTTGATCTTGAAGGAGGATTTGACGAAGAACGAAGAGAGCTTTCTTGATCCTTCGGGATTTGCTTGGGAGCCTTAGAGTTTCAAAGCTTCAAGGTTTTGGTGTCATGTGAATTGGTGAGTGAAAATGAATGTCTTGGCTTCCTATTTATAGAATTCCAAAACTTGATTTTTGGATTTAAACAATTAGATGAAATAAATCATTTCTACCAGGTATTGACATGTGTCCTATTTGATGACTTTTCTGATTTATTTTGATTTTTCGTTGAGTCACACGCTACGTGTAAAATTCATGTGACACGTGAGCGTTGAAATTTTAATTATTGGTCAACATTTATTTTACCAAAATTTTGATGTCTACAAATGCCCCCACTTCAAGGCGCGTCGTATACATGTGCTTGTCACTTGTAGAAGATGTGTTTTAAGTCCCTTAATGTAGATGTCGATCCAAGGGCCGTCGAGGCTTGATCTGGAATTGGGCTGGAAATTTCTTTGAGGGCCACCATGGCTTGATCTTGAATTGGGCTGAAAGTTTTCTTCAAGTGCCATTGAGGCTTGTTCTTGAATTTTGTTTGAAATTTCTTCAATGGCTGTCGAGGCTTGATCTTGAATGAAATTGGACCACAAGGAGCTTCACGTGGTAGATGATCTTTGGCTTTGGTAGTGGATAAATCGATACGTATTTTGTTGCGCTTGTTGACTTTCCACAACTTTGATTTTGAACTGGGTTGGGGGGTTTCTTCTGCCAGACTTGCACCAAATGTCTGAATTTACTCCTTTTATCTGGAGTTGAATTTGGTTCAAGGATAGTGGACACTTGATCTTGAATCGGACTTGTGATTTCTTCAAGGGTCGTCGAGGCTTGATCTTGAATTTAAATGGGACCACGAGCGGCTTCACCTGGCATGTGAGATTCGGCTTTGTTGGGGATGAATCAGCACGTGCAGTTGTTGCGTTTGTTGATTATCCATAATCTTGATGTTTCGTTGTTTCTTGTCTTATATGTTCTCTAGGCAGATGTGGATGAGTACTCGAAAGCGATGCTAGGTAAGCAATTAGGAAAGGGGTTCCAGGCAGTCGGTTCCTGACTGGAAGCTTGATTCCAAATGCTGGTAATTGCTCTCATTCTCATTGTTTAGCAGGTAAGAACAAGGACAAAGAAAAGGATAGGGGAAAGCATGATATGAGATACTTTTGCTTTTGGACAAGCAGGGGTGATTTGATGGCGTTGCACGACGAGGCTTTGCTCTTTGGCGATGGTACCAGCGAAAAGCTATTAAAGCTTCTTAAGCTCTTAGAGTAACGATGCTAGGCTTGGATTTAACTTAGACTCATCTGTCTGAATTATGCAGTTATGCGGGGAAGGGCGTCGTGCTACAATGATTTGTTCCAGCTCATCGTGCTGTATTCTTCTCTGCTTGTTTCTTTCGCATAGCTGAAGTGGTGCTCAACCTTTTTCCTTTAAATGGTCGTTCAGAGCATCACCCCTCAGCGACTCATTCATGCTTGGCAGCTTCAGTGTAAAGACGAGCACTCGAGAGCAATGCTAGGTAAGCAACCAGGCAAAGGTTTCGGGCAATCAGTTCCAGATCGGAAGTTTGATTTCAGGTTCCGACTGATTGCTTTCTTTCTCCTTGTCTCGCAGGGAAGAGCAAAAGTAAAGGAAAAGACAGGGAAAAAGCATGATATGAGATACCTTTGCTTTCGACCCTGATGATATGAGATATTTTTACTTTTGAAGAAGTAGCGGATGAATCAGCACACGTATTTGTTGCGCTTGTATCCACATGCTTCGATGCATCATTTTCACTTGCCTCATCTGTTCTCCATGCATCTGGTAGCTTCTTTGGAAGTGTATCAACAGTCGAAGATGAGTACTTGAGAGCAGTGTTAGGTAAGCGATCAGGGAAGGGGTTTCAGGCAGTCGGTTCCAAATCAGAAGGTTGATTCCAATTACCAGCTGATTGTTCTCTTTCTCATTGTCCTGCAGGGAAGAACAAGAATGAAGAAAAGGACAGGGAGAAAGCATGTTATGAGATACTCTTGCTTTCGACCCTGATGATATGAAATATTTTTGCTCTGGTGTGACTTGGTTAAAGAGGTATTTTTAGGGAGAAAGAACATTGAGTATGTTGAGATGTTTGGTTGTAGATGTATTATTAGCAAGGAAGAAGAGTCAGGCATTTTGGATGTGTGTCTTAGCATAGAGGATGAAGGTCAACATATATAGGGATTTCCCAATAGTAAGTGGTGGTGCAGATGCGGCCTTGTCACCCATGCTTGTCGGCAAAAGTGTGGTAGTTAGAATAGTGCACTTCACACGTTTTCAACTCTGTCAAAGGTCTTTGATAAAGTTGCACGTGCTATCCGACAAGCTTAGGTTGCGTCTGAAAAGTGTTGACAGACTTTATGCAGAAAATCTGGCTTTTTTGAAATTCGAAGAGTGATGTCTCTTCGATTTTTTTTCAATAGGAGGCTGTTGCCTCTCCTTTTAAAGAGGTGTCAATCGTATTCAAAATGCACACTTTGAAGATTGCTTGCTTGTGAAAATTGTCTCTGGTGTATTTCTGAGATTTTACTCCATCCAACCCTTTCTTTTACCATTTTTGAAAATGGCTTACCCATTTAACATATGCTTGGATTTGAGTCTCAGGGGTGATACAGGTACGCCGCATTAGGGTAATATATGGCGCCCGTCCTTCTTATCTTCTAATGGCCCTCTTACGGTTGAAGACTCTGTGATGAGGGATGCAATAACGACTACGGTAGTAACTAGGAACCTCCTCACTCCTAAAGATAATAGGTTGATTTCAAGACGATCCGATGAGTTGGCTATCCAAGACTCTCTGGCTTTCAGTGTTCAGTGCGCGGGCTCTGTGTCCAATATAGGCCAACGCCTACTTGCTCGAACTTGCCAAGTTGAATCATTGATGGTCGAGGTGGCAAATCTTAGACAAGAGGATTAAACAGTTCAAGCGTGAGAATAGAGATTTGCACATGCTTGCAAATAATTATTCAACGAGCATGAAGAGAAAGCTTAATCAGCTGCAGGATTCCGAAGGTCGAATTCAAAATGACCATCAGAGGTTTGTGGCTATACTCCAGAGGCACTTTTTGCCTTCATCATCTGGGGTTCAACCAAGTATTGAGGTTCCGAATAATCAACCTCTGGTGCCTCTTCTTCCTGGAGTTTCGCCAAGTACTATGGCGTCACGTGAGCAACCTTTGTGAAGGCTTCCCTTTCTTTCCTTTTCTTTTTTTTTTATTTTTATTTTTTACATATTTGTAATTTCTAGAGATATCAATAGACGAGCTTTATTTCATTCAGTGTATTGTGCTAAATACCATAAAGCATATATTTCGCTAAGATATGGTACTTCCTTTTTTTTTAATTATATTTATATATATTAGATGGTGCCTAATGCACCATTCCCCCCATTTTTGTTTCTACCTTTCAATCATTTTGTCGCCACCACCTCTTTTTTTTTTTTTTCTTTTTGACTTCCAATAGTAGCATGCACTTGTGAATGGCTTAAAGATGGCACAGCTGGATTCCTCAGTGGGTGCTTGAATTTGCATAGGATATCATTCCTCTTTAGAAAAATGTGAGTTCCACCTTTGAATTGGCATGCGGGAACTCACGTCAAATGTGTTGATGGGTCACTTTTGAACATGTGTCTTTGTCCTGCAACTTAATTCCACTTAGAACCCTTCACATGGTGATGTGCACCATTCCTGAAACTTATATATATATATATATATATATATATATATATATATATATATATA